AATCCGAAATCCGAAATTCGAATCCGAAATGTGCTAAATCCGATCCGATCCGATCCGTGCACAACCTAGGACTGATATCTTGAATTGAATGGGTTGTAAAAGTTTCTTTCTTATGTATTGCCATTCAGTCGGTATGTGCTCCGTTTGACTTCTCTAACAAGGTTAGTTTCTGGATTTTTTGGTTACCTGTAATGTAACTTGTTTATGAGAAACTATTCTCCAGGAAGAAATCGACTAACTTTTTTCGTTGCTGGTGGAATTTGCTTGTTTAGTAAATCATATAAATTTATTTCCATCTTCTAGAGAGCAACACATAAGCAAAAATATTTGGCTTCACTGAAGATAGGGCAGCTTGTGCACTAAGATCCTACTACGACGTGAGGTCCAGGGAAGGGCCGGACCACAAGGGTTTATTCTACGCAGCCTTACCCATTTCTACTAGAGACTGTTTCCACAGCTTGAACCTCCTGGTTCATATTGAAGATAAAAGACTTAAAATAATTTCCAATATTTGGAAAAACTACTCAACTTTCATTATTTATTTTCTTAACAATGTTTCACTTAGTAATCAAAATCATTGTTTTATGCCCAAAACATCATAAAATACTGGAATTACATGAAGCAGAACTCTTAATCATTCTGCTTTAAGGGTCTTAGCAACATCAATGACAAAACGGTATTTAACATCAGCTTTGGCAAGACGCTCCATTGCAGTGTTTACATAATCCATCGGAATAACTTCAACATCTGCTGTTATATTGTGTTTTGCAGCAAAATCAAGCATTTCTTGCGTCTCTTTCATCCCTCCTATACCACTTCCAGCTACAAGCTTCCTCCCTGTCATTATATGCAATTCTCAACTTACTTACACTACTATAGCAACTAAAAGATTTTAAATATGAGATGATAACACATTCCTTGCACCGTCATACCAAAATCTAGACAGTGAGAGTAGTCAACTCACCCATAAGCAATGAAAAGACTGGTAGCTCGACAGGTTTTGCAGGTGCACCAAGAAATATAAGCTTCCCATGAGACTTCAATAGCCCAATCAATGGATGTATGGGATGGTCCGCGGAGACTGTGTCAAGAATTCCATCCATTGTGCCCATAGCAGCCTATGGATATAGGAACCACAGTTGAGTACTACTATGTTAATCTATGACAATTAGATATTTGTTTTTATTTAAGTGATTCAAAATTTAATGTACTCCCCTATTGTTGTAAAGATACAATATTTTCTAAAAAGATGTATCAAATCTTTGTAGAACACATCTATTCATTAACGGAATAGATGTATACATTCTTCGTAGAAGGACATATCTATTCACTAAAATGTGCCTTGGTTATATTTCACACACTATATGAATACCTACCCCACCATCCCAAGGAATTGACCAGTTAATCTTCCATATGACCTTGCCTTCCTCTAACTTTGTTCTTTAGTTCTTTCTCATTTCACTCTCGTCAAAAAGTGTCTTATCTAAATAATTACAAAAGCAGTTGAAGATTTAAGAGTTATTTGGAGCTTCTATTTGAGTGCACATTAGAAGACTCTTGAGTGGTCAGTTGTATTTTAGGAGTAGGACGTCATTTTGCTAATGCAGTTATCTACTACGGATACAGAGTCCTCAATAGCGTGCCTCAAACCGGTTTTCTTGCATCCTCAATTTTATCCCTTCATTTATTGTTAGCTATTGCATCTTGTGTGTCATAAAGTGTTCTTCTAGTTAGGACATTCATCTTTAGTATTTTATCCAGCAATAAATGGTAGAGAGAAAGAGATAAAGATTGATTAGAAGTAGTTACCTGCAGCTGATCCGGATCAGTACTAATCAAAAACGAATCAGCACCAAGATGTTCAATGGCTTCCTTCTGTTTGCTTTGAGATGTACTAATTACCGTCACCTTTAGCCCTAAAGCCTTGGCAAACTTGACACCAACATGACCGAGTCCACCAAGACCTACTACACCAATATGAAGACCTGGTTTATCTAGTCCAAAGTATCTCAACGGGCTGTAGGTTGTAATTCCAGCACAAAGGAGAGGAGCTGCAGCAGCTAGGGGCATGTTTTCTGGGACATGAATGACAAAATGTTCATCAACAACAATCATGTCTGAGTAGCCTCCATACGTTGGTGTTCCATCGTGGTAGATTGCATTGTAGGTGGCTATTCCCTTGGAACAATAATTTTCAAGATCGTTGGTGCAGTTTTCACAAGATCGACATGATCCAACTAGACACCCCACACCAGCTTTCTCCCCAACTTTGAATTTCTCCACCTTGCTACCAACCTCGGTTACTTCACCCACAATCTCATGTCTGCATCCATCATAAGAGTTAGAATTCAAATTTAAAGTATGAAAGCAAATAGAGCTATTGAATTTGAAGGTTGCAAGGAATGATCCTTAACTGAGCCAAAAACACTTGGACCTTAGCCAAGAACTACTAATGTTTGAGTTATATTTCGATACACTTACTGTCTAAAAGAGGTTGTGAGTTCGAGTCTCCCCAAGAGCAAGGTGGGAAGTTCTTGGAGGGAAGGATGC